GATGATGGACGGTGCATGGCTGATCACGGACAACGTCAGGATCCACTTGTCAAAGGTCTAAGGAGGATTCTGGGCTCGTCTTATCAGCTGAAGTTCCTATCCCCATACCGGTACACTCTAAACCCAGTAGAGCATACGTTTTCAAAGGTGAAGGCATCGGCGAGACACCTGATGACCAACCCGATGCCTCATCAGTCTCTAAGTGCTGTTATCCAAGACCGCGTCGAAATGGTGATTCAGCAAGACTGCACGAACTGCGTCCTCAATATGACGCTGAACTTGACAAACGCAACAGCCAGACAACCCATCCTCAACTAACCGTCCCTAAGGTTACACTCCTTTTCTTGTTAATACAACATTTTCACTTTAAAGTGAACGTTTTTCAAATCGAAGTGACGGAATTTGCCTGTAAGAGTAGGGCGTGTACCGAGATGTCGACAGTCTAGGCTTGTCATGGTGCGATTGTCGTAGCACTGTTAATGCCGTCCAGCTCTTAGCAGCACTGCTTGAGAATAATCTTTTGACTTCGGAGAGCCTTGAAGACCATAGACACGGAAAGATGGACCCCTTTCCTATTCAGCCGCTGTCGCAGCTGCACCAAAATGTCCAGGAAATGCCGTTAAATGGTCTCCACAAGGCGCGGCACGGCATCGGGAGTCCGCTTCTCCCTGGGGTTTCCTCCACATTTGCGCTGAGTATTAGTGCCTTCACGTCCTTAGGCATTGATGGTGTTTCTTGCCATGCACTTGTTGACATCGGAGACTTCAACAACTTTGTGGGTGATTTTGCCCTCTACGATCACAAACTTGGTGATGATCTCTTTCTTTGTCGATGACCGTCGCTTGTACCGTCTCCACCCCCTGAAGTGCGTTCTCTCGTCGTTCGTTGTTCAATATGGCCGTTTCATGCCGCACAAGGTTAGGAAAGCTATGCCGTGTTTGGTGGATTCATGCTAACCTAAACTGTTCCAATGTCGTGCAGCTGCATAGGTTCACCTACACACCCACAGAAAATACGCGAAGGGCTCTAGAGAGACAGGGGAAACTGGGTCACTGGTTTTGATCTAGGTGAACGACGCCCATGATCGAGAGAAGAGCTTGCAGACTCGCCCACTGCTTGTACAGTTTCGTTGCATTCACGTGACTACAAAGCAGCGTAAATCTAGTTCAGTCGTCGTACTGTTTGATATGGAATTGCATCAGTGGGTCAATAAATCTAGGCTGGGTTTGGTGAAGTCATGACAGTCTATAATGTTCCAATTTGCATGCGACTTCATAGATTCGGCCACACATCCACACAGATATACACGTAAATTTGGTGAGATATAGGGGAAAATTGTGCCACCGCCTATCTGCTTAATCAGTTATGGTCACCGTGATCGATTTGGCATAGGTTTACTTCCATGTGAGACTGCGTATTGCAATCCATCCACAAAACCAGTTTTTTACGAGGACCCTCCAAAGCTAATCAACATTTGTTTGAGCCATGGTAGACTATGCGATTCGGGCGTCTGACTTTCTAATAGTCACGTAGCTACACTGGTTCATGCGTACAAACATTGGTACACAAACTGCGCGAAGGCCGATGAGAAGAGAAGGGGAATATTAGTCACCGCCTTTGGTACAGGTGATCCAGGCTCACATTCCATAGGAGGGTCTGCAATGGCACCCGTTACTTACATATTTCGTTTGCATTAGCATGAAACAATGGAGTCTGAACATCGTTCAGTCTCCTTACTCCTCATTTCTTGCTAACAGATTGCCGCTTTGTACATTAACTGATCACATTCTGTACTTTTAACGTGATCATACCTGTGCAGGCGTGCCCCACTTAGTTGAGAATAAACCCTATTTTATTTATTTATTAATAGCTGAAGCAGTCAGCGAGAAAACTGTACACAACGAGGGCATCGTCAGAGAATAGCTTTTGGTTTTCCACGATTATAGCTCTAACAGTCTCGATAATTTCATTCTTATCTCGGAAACCGCGAGGCTCGCTTTCGTCTTCTTGACCAGCCGCTGCGTCAACGAATGGTGCAGGGGTTGATCATGTCCAGTATACGTTATTTTCTTGCATTCTATACAGTCTGTATAGCCTCGGATTCAAGGTGTAGACTGTAAGAGTTCCTTTGAAAGCGAGTAAATCAGTCAGCTCCTTCTACTTCAGTTAGCTGGAATACTTAACTATCCTTTTTTCAATGGGTGAGTTTCCGCCCTTTCTGTTGCCGGCTTTCATGAACTACGAAATATTATAAGCTGAGCTACTTGTCTTGTATAGCTGTTCAATTTTGTCCAAGCGGGAAATTCCCAATCCCTTATCTGGCCTTGGAATCCGAATACCTGTTTTCCCTGGATGTCTTCAATCCGCCTATGTGCTACCTCTTCAGCAGCTACTTGGCTGCCAATACACTAATCAGACTGGACTACTCGCCCTAACCCAGCAGACGCGCGAGTTCGACACATCCAACACATTTAGTGACGTGATTATCATACTTTGCGTGGTGGCCCTTGAGTGCGTACAACGTCTCAAGCGAATAGTTCCGAGAAGTGGGTTGGATTCAGCAACACGTCACACTAACACCGTCCGTACATCTACGCGGGACAACCGATTGATATGCGGTTAATGGGACACACAGCTCATATTATGGGACTGAATTCCAACTGTCGTTTTATCATGCAAACGCGTTATGACTCAGCTATGGACTTCTTTTTATCCATTAAGCAGTCGCCCCCCCCCCAACACTCCCATATTTCCATGGGTGAACTTCTAACACGCACATAACCTACACGCTTCAGTTCCTAACAAGTGAGCAAGTCCTTACTTGTGTGCATTTTTGCGTCTGCAGTTTATAACAGAGGATGGCAAACGTCCAAAAGACAGATACCCTCGATCAAAAGAAACAAATTGTCCAAAAAGGGAGTTGTGTTATAAACAGCCACAGCGTGATCAATATGAGATATTGTGCTGTAGGCTCCTAGAGGCAGGTAAACTTTCGGGTTATACCTACGAGTGCAGCGCTGATAAACCATTTGTTTATTAGTATATTTATTTAATCTTTATCGATTTATTAAGGTGCTTGTCGGTGAGTTGAGGGCACGGCTTTTTCTCGCAAAAAGGTCATCCTGCAAGGTGTCCGCTCGCACGAATCCAGGCTAGAAAAGATTGTGAGCAAATGTTTCGTACGGATTAACAACACCGGAAACGGAGCACGTGGTGGCTGACGCCAGAAGGCAGTTGAAGCGGTAAAAGGCAAATTTGAATAGGTGAATGTCAGAACTCCGCAGCTTAAACGACGCTAATCGTACAACAAAATGGACGTAGTCATATAGGAAGTCGAAAGACAGCTCCTCCTCTCGCAACGATTTACTGAAGCCGCATTCAATGGTAAATACCAGGAGCAGCCTTCGGTTAGAGTGCATGATTAGTGCCCAGGTGAACTGCGCTTGTTGATTATAGACCAGGCAGAGAGAATTCCTAGCGCCCACTGACATGTCTCTCAATGGATATGGGGTGTGGGTATGGGTGTGGTTCGGGTCAAATAACCCATGACCCCTGCAGAGCGGACGTCCGCCGGCTAGTCGCAAGATGTCACCATCAGTCACATCACTAGGTAAGGAGGTAAGTGGAGGCCGCACGGATGCCATCCTAACGTTCCTATGCGCCTAAGAAGAGGCCGGGGCTGCGCCTTCTTGTTGGTCTTTTCAGCTTGGGCATATCAAACCCGGGAGAAACACGCTGCCGTAAAAGGTAAGAAAGCGCCGAATCATACACACTTGCCACAGATACGCTCATCTGTCTTAGCTCGGTGCGCATAACCTGTTGAACGCACCTCCTCGCAATGGGCTGACCTCGTTTGTTCCAAACAGCCAGAGTCGGCCTCAAATAGTGCTAACCAACATCTTGCTCTCTCGAAGGGTACACGGGTCTTTGGAGTTATCCATCTTCGCATTGATTTGTAGTGCCAGTGTGCTCCCCACCTTCCACCCCATCGAATACGCTATACGGGCTCGAAAATTTGGATGGCGCGTGGGCTCGTGATTAGTGGGACCCACACAGCGTCGGATAACGAAAGGCTTCAAGGGATTGTTCACATCTTCTTACAGCATCAGAGGATGAGCAGGTTGTCTATTGGGTGCATCTGCCGTCTGCGCTAGGACATCATCATACTACCAAACACTAAGCGATCGTAAGCACATGTGTCGATAACTTTTGAGGCTGTGTTCCAAAACTAATCTCATACACAGTCCAGCAAAATTAAGCCGGAAATTAAGCCGGCTAGATTGTCGACAGAATTGATTCTCCTTTCGGATCTTCCAATCCTACGACGCTCTTCCGAACCCATCTGTTTGTACAGCATTTCAGTAAGCTCTAAAAGGCGTTGTGACATCGTACCCAGCTCCTTGCATTTTAATACTTTAACGCCGTACTCTGATATGTATCCTGATGACTTGTTTTATTTGTACGTATGATAGACGATGATGTGCGAACCTCGGTGCAAGTGGATGAGCTATTCCATTGCACCTTATAAGAAGTGTTAGCTACCTAAATCTGTACACTATTTTATGTGGTACCATCCCATTTCTACAATGCTACCTGACTGATGCATATTCGGCCTTAGTTTTATTGGATGCAACGAACACGGAATATTCCCAATTTTACTCGGTTGGACATGGGTCTACCTTCGTTTCACAACCACGCCTCAAATATGCCGTTGTCCTGTTTCGTTTACCAAATGTGTATTCTAGTTTCTTTGTGTATGTGAGCTTTGCTTTTGGAATTCCCTCCCTGACAAACCTAAAGGACCTGTTAAGTGCGTAGTCTTTTACCCGTCATAAAATATTATTCCACTAGATCCGTGAGAAAGCAAGGCTCAGGTATTTTGTGTGCGCTAACCGAAACCATGTTACATGCAGTTCACGATAACATCACTTGTTCACTAAAATCTCAACCCGAATGTGTGCTCACGCGCTCAATGGGTCATGTTGTTTGTCGGCGTTTAGCCCGAGGAGCACAACCAGCTGAATGTGGTCGGTCTGATTTCCGAACACTTCATTGGAGACAAACCACAAACCGCGCTCAACATTTTCGGAACTCTCCGAGTCAATCAAAAACGGGCTCTACCGGCTCACTACGATCGAATGGAAGATTACATAAACGGGGTGAGTACTCCGATTCCTTTTCGTTAAGTGCTGCAGACCCCGTCAACTCAATTGGTGGCCACTGATCAGATCATATTGCTGACATTTTTAGAGCCAACACGTGGTCTATCATACTGAAATGTTCGTTGATTTGTCCCGGCAGCTCCCAAGCCTAACCACACATCCGGAAAAGCACCAGCCGTCTTCTCGCCCCATTAAGGCCCGTAGGCGCTGCGCATCCCCTCAGTCCCCTTCAAGGAACCGAAAAGATGACCCCTAGCTCTTTGCGCCAACTAACCGGCAGGTTCTGTCACTGAGCCATATGAAATGGTGGCAGACCGTCACAACAAGAATACAGCGAAAGCTATCCTTCCCTGCCATGCGCGTTACTAACCTTGCAGAAGACAGCAGTTGGCCTCCATACGTCACGACTTCCATTACACAGCATGGCAATGGACGGTTGTGAATGCGATATTTTGACTATTAATGAGTAGGAGAATTTTTGATGAAAGTTTACTGATTGACTCGTCATGGTTACTAGCGATAGAAGTGTAAATTAGATTACCTTCATCGACGTCACCTGTGTTATGCAGCCTCCCACACGTCTGAAAGAGCATCGGAGGACAGTTTTGACCTTCTACGCTTCGTCATGTTGCACTATCCCGTAGTCAAGTGTTAGTCATGGGGCTCCGCCGCCGTCACCCATGGTTTAGTAGCACAAGGTGCTGGCATCCGGAAGTCATTAGATTGGAACCCGACAGGGGACCGAGGAATGTGCAACAGTGAGGAGACCCAGAAGGCCAAAACGGCCGTCTAGGGCCTTTCCAGATGTGTGGGAGCCTGTGTGATTGAGAGTTGACTACGGTGAACGCCATCTACTTTATACCCACATTCCACTACTCATTATTAGTCAAAAACTCGTCCGCACATCGAAGTGCAATGTCCTACACAGTCACTGTGCGGAATTCGTAGCTCTGGAGCCACCCACTGTCCTGTGCGTAGTTCGTAACTGACATGAAAATGGAGTATGACCTGCTCTATCTCGTAGTCAATTGTCACTCATGCAGCCCCGCCGCCGTCCTTCATGGTTTAATTTTAGAAGGTGCTGGCATCCGGAAGTCACCGTGTCAGGATCCGACAGGGGTCCGAGAAACGTGTACCATCCACGAAATCCAGAATATCAAAACGGCCGTCTGGTGCTTTCCAAGAGGTGTGAAAGTCTACGTGACTGAGTGGTGACTGCGATGTCCTTCGTTATGAGTGCATAAAGACACATTCTTGACTTGACAAATGTTATGATAAGTACACCTTGATGCTTTGGTGGCTTTGCTTCAGCTGTCTAGCGAACGTCTGCAGCCAACTTGCTAGCTATTGATTAATAGTTGCGATCCAGTAAAAAATTGGTGCATTCGATGCTCGATTATGATGGAGAATTCCCACTTCGGTTTTGATTTCAGCTACCACTGTTTCTGCCAACTTCTCCGGGACAACCAGGAAGTACAAACTTAGAAGAAACACTCTACAATTTTGCAAGACGAAACTGTAAGTCTCTACGGCTTTTGGTTGAGATGAAAGCCCATAAAGTTGAACGGAAAAAGTTGGATTAATGAAACCCTCCGATTTGTGTACAGCTAACTACCATCATACTCCTTGAGGTTGTAGACGGACGTAGGCTAGAAGAAGCTGATTCCATGCAACCTGAATTAAAGTGTCCCACAAAGCATTTCATTTGAAGTAATCATTAGGTGGGTAGATTGCGAAGCACAAGCTCAGTAGGGACTGCGATTCACTTGGAAGTGAATCCCTATCGATACGGTCGCTAAGATCGAAGCTGAAGCGCATAAATGTTAGGTGTCGTACACTCGCAATACTGCTCTCCATTACCAATTTCGTGCCTGTTCCCACGAGACCGCAATCACAGTCTCTAGTCGACAAATGTAAACAGGCCGGCCGCTGCAAGTAGGCAACATTTCTTCACTTCATATCAATGCACAACAACGAATAGATCCGGAGCTCGTAAATCTCAGCAAACATCTGCTGTCTCGTAACCACAACGCAGTAAGTGTGGATATGGAACAACGAAATCAACGAAGCCTGACGGGGTTCCGCGGGATGGTGAGCAACTCGGTACAAATTTAAGCTACTTCACCGTTCCAACATCCCCACTGGAGATGATCACTCGCACCATCATGAGAGCACGATTTGATCCAGCTGTATGGTCTCGCCTCATCTTCGAGAATTGCAGTGCAAACACAATGAAGACTTTACGCTATTATTTACTTATTGACTTAAATAAAGAAATTGTATATTTCTCGAAGATGCGCGAAGCTATTCCCCAGAATGGCTGGATCAAAAACTGATGGAATCATTTCTTGATATTGTTTAATTAATATTCTTTTAATATGAGCACAAATTTCAAGTTTACAAAGTGATCCGAATTGTTTTTTGGTTTTCCGACCTGTCGCTGAATCAGTGTTCTTCACAAACATGGTAAATGTTCGGGCAGGGAAGAACAACAAAATGAAAGGGGTAGTAGTGCATAAAGTTATATACACGTTTTGCTCGCAATTCTGCAAGTTGCCATCGATACAATTCTCGAAAGTCTTATCCAGGCATTGTGATATCCCAAACATAGTGACTGTGTTTTGGACGGTTACAAGTAAACTAATCGCAAACTTAAATGTACGCAGTGCACAACGTTCCGATACCTCTTGGAAATATGTTCCAAATCTCTGGGTAGTGGATTAGAAAGAAACCTCTGCTGATCGTGATTTACTTCGGAAGCGTGACCTTGCTACGTATCGGGTATCTAGTGTTTAAACACATCTGAACACTTAATAGAACTGTGCATGTGGTGGTTTATGATCCTATAAAGAAGACACAAGATCAGCTTTTTCCTCAGAAGCCAGGTAGGGTCAAGTCCAAGCTTATGGCCAGGCCTTCTGTAGGATTTCGATGAGGAAAAACTGTATAGCTTTTTCGTAAAGCATCGCTGTACCCTCACAAGAGCATGCTGGTCAGAAGTTTGTAAATTCAATTGGACCAATGAACAGTATTCCATACATGGTAATACATATGCCTTGTAAACCCAGTTGATAGATACCATGAGATAAAATTGCTAGCAAATGTATCCGATGATCTTTATGGCCACTGAATCTTGAAACTCACGGTATTCCGAAAATCGAAAGTAGGGTAGATTCCGACTTCGTTTGTCATAAAACATTCTGTGAGATATGAGCTTGCTCTTTCTAGGCAAGGTGTACCACTGCATATTTGCTATTACATAGCGAACATATTTGCGACGGCTATCCACAACAATTAACATGGGTACGTGATCCAACAGCGAGTCAGTCACTAACTGGAATTATCATACCCGGTGCTAGCACGCCGATTGGCCCGGAGGACTCGAACAGACCCGCGCTTGTTATACACGATTGAACATGCTGACCAAGTAACTCGAGAGAGTTACCTGTACACAGTTCACTATGAAATGAGGACTTCGCATTGTTGATATACTCTATGTTGAATGACTGAGGAGTGGGGCATCGATTCGGCTTTGAGCAGCGAAGGCTGCTAGCGTCAAATATCTCTCTCCATGCAGGGTTGCATACAGGCGGAGCCCGATCCCTTGCCCATGAACTGTAGACATAGGGACTGTTAGTGACAACTAGGCAGAAGTTCATGCTCCACGGTATCACCCTGCATCAATGCCGGCAAGCAGTGCTAGTCTTGTTCACCCTCGTCAAACGTACTTTAACTCACGTGTATGGGAAATCGATCCACCATCGACCATCCGAGATGACCTCCAGAGATGAGCATTGAGACCGGCACAGTAATGCTGGATGCGGCGAAAATTACAAACTATCGCCGAACCATGGGGCCGCCAGTGGCAGGAAGCAGTGGCGGAATTCGGAGATCAAATATAGGATTCGTGAAACCGGACCCTATCAAAGAAGCGATCGATGTTTACTAGGAAAACAAACTCAGTCCAGAAGACAGCTGGGCCTGTCTGATCAGACTAAACAGTCCAGAACCACCAGTTTGTCAGGGCCTTGTTTTGTCCTATTTAATATATGATTCCCTGACATCGTTTTGACACGAAGCCAAAAGATTTGAACTTTGGTTATGAAAATCTTGTGGGTACTTGAAGGTACAACGCAAGAATGGAGGTTAGCACATATTCGTAACTGTTGATGTAACCAACTTACTCCAATCTCTACTGGCCATCTTTCTTACCACGTTTTATTATTTTCCTATTCTTTAATCCTTCCGGTTTCCCTTGAAGAATCCTGATCTTCCAATGCCAAGTGCATACCATATGTAGTACGCAACACCCCCATGATAGGAAAGGCAGGAACCGACACTGAAACCGCAATGCTATGATGACATCAGCTTTGGTCCTGGTAGGCATTGCATCGAAAGCCGGAGATCCATAGTCCGAAGAACCTACAAAAGCCATTGCAGTGTGCGTCCTGCGGCCCAGACTTAGGCAGGCACCGGATAGAGGTGGCCAGCGCCCTAAACTTAAGTCCGGTGGACCAGTAGACAAAGGTAACAATCAGCACCAAGACATCCGAAATATCACGGATGATTAACAGTTCGGATGGCAGTGCGATTTACTAGTCATTAGACCCTACAAGATTCATGGGACGACAACGAGTGAGCGACTGGACATTAGTTTTAAAGGTAGGAGTCAAAAATCGCCCTTCCCCTATTATTATCGAATGCCAGCTAGGGGGCTTGCGTCTCCACAAGTACACATGGTACGGATGACCACCATGAACCATAATCCCGCCTCAAAAACGAAGAGTGCCGCTCGGCGATCGTGTGGAGAAAATGCACCACCACCTACAGCATCTCGTGATACATTGCTCTGATGAGTTATAGGTTCGAATCCTGCCGTGTTGAAGGATAATGAATGCATTGAGCGAGCCGCGTAGAGAGATACGTAGTCCCGGGTGATGTGCCACGTTTGGTAAATACAGACGGAACGGCACTTATACTTTTATTTAGTTCTTCGCGATTAGATTACAAACCGGGTAGGCAAACTACCAATTATGAAACGCACTAGACGGTCGTTTCGTCCTCTTGGGACTCGTCAGTGGTGCGCATCCCCTCGGTCACCTTCAAGGAACAGAACTCATACGCTCTAGGGGCTTGGACCACTAGACAGCAGCTTATGTCGCTGAGCCAGGGGAGAAGCAACTTGGCCATCACGGACAGCAATCTAACTGCGCCATAGCACGATGCGCCCTCCCTGCCATGTAGGTTACTACCCGTGCAAAGTACAGTGGTTGGCTCGCTGGTGTCAGAATTTACTTACCAATAGCAGTGAATCCAAACTGCATTATGGAGGCATATTTTTGACTACTCATTAGTAGTAAAAGCATTAAGAGATTTCAGTAACCGGAACACCCCATTTAATGGTCAAGGTCAAGGGACCGAAGGTGAACAATTTTTCCAGAATCTGCTGGGATATTCAGCAGGATTCTTGAAAACAATTGTTCACCTTCGGTCACCTTGTTCTTGACTATGAGATGTATTTAGTTTGTTTCGATCGCATTTAAATGACTTCGCTCACCTGTCTTCATCTTGATCTTTTAGTTACAATGCGTCTGCACCAGAGAACCAAAGTCCCGACATTCGGCTCTGTCTCAACTACGGGGCTGTATCGTATCAGCCTGAAGATCTCCCTACCGGAACAGAAATTGTTGTATCCTTTTTGAGCGATTTGTATGACCGGAGTGAAATTAACCGATGGCGTCCTCCAGTGCAGCTGGATATTTGGCAACAGGCGTCAGTCAGTGGTGCTTTCATGTTAGTTACGCAAACGCGCAGTCCCGGTTGCGACACAACTGCTGGAAAGAGTTAAGTCGAGCTCGTAAGTGCCACCTAACAAGCAATAGGAGACAACTCACCTTTATAATCACATCCATCAAGCTCATGTGTTCTGTAAGATCACACGACAATCACAATCCTGGCTCATCTAGTACAGTCCACAAATTCCCTAAGCAAAACGCTCATCTGACCCCACTGTGTTCAGACCGGATTTGAGACCTCAGGGGAGTATCGTATCAGCGCGACAAGTCTCTTGTTATACCAACGTTTACCGAAGCACACTAATTATGGAATCAAAAAGTAGGAGAAGCTTGTGCTCTGATATTGGCTCTTACATTGTTACAGACTGACGCGGAGCCACGAAATTTCAGCACGTGATATTGCACGGTTTGTCAAGTAAGCTTAAACAAGGGAAACCTCAACCAGCCAAATGCGACGAGTCTGCGAGGCCGATACGCGCCCATAACAGCGAGTTCCTAGGGCCTTGACGTAGGTAAGGTACCGGTGATGAGGATCTGACTCTTATGTCGTCTCAAAGCGCGGAGAAAGAGCCACATGCTAGATTAGAATTTTCACACAATCACGCGCCGAAGTGATCCTTGCTTCCTAACTTCCTGGTTGCACCTGCCCTGTGGAATTAACGGGTGCATCCACACTCTTTTGTGAGTGGTACAGGTAGGGATAATTGACCGACACTGGGCCATGACGCATGTGTTAAACATGAAGTGACGGGCCATATCTACGACGAAGCCACCGGGTGGCACAACACTTTTACCCAACAAACTGCATCCAGAATGCCATTGAATTGCTCCGCAAGGAACTGATTTTCCTCTACAGCGGTTGTTCTCAACTTATAGGGTAAGGTGGTAAAATGGAATGTTACGTGAGGTAAATATAAGTAAGAGGAGTGGGTCATCTATCTGTCGCTAAACAAAATCGTTTGTGGCGAAACATGTGGCTAACTGCCTAGTCACTATGGATTGAGCATCATTGACTAATTATTTGTGAGTGGTCAGCAAATTAGACAATTTTCCGCAGCAAATTTTATTACATAAAATATGAATAATATCCTACAAAACATCGCCGCTACATGGCGCCTCCTTCAACTCGTTCGTCGTTCATTGTACGTTTGCGTCAGGCATTCGTTCGCTTGGTCAAATTACAGGGTTGTGTGAATACTAAGGTGGGAGCATAGGTCAGCCGACCAGGTAAAGGAGCGAACGAATGTGTACAAGGTAGGAGGGACAAAACAGATAATTAATGTTCAGGATGTATCGATACAAAGTCGTGGTGGGAAGCTGTCAATCCGGAGGGACTTGGAAGGGATGGTTGAAACAAATGGGAAGCCACCGACATTTGTTCATATTTGATCAGGGATCACACACCAAAGCAAGGAATCAGATGAAGATGGCACACGACTTATAATGTGTATTAACCGAAACCACACTAAATATATCATAAATTGTTGGAAGTAAGCGATGCCAACCGTCTCATTAACGCACATCACTACTTGATTTAATAAAACACTGGTCGAACATAGTTTTCTTTATTTAGTGATTAAAAATTACCTTAACCTAGCATTCATTTTCCACGATGTAAAGCGAAAATGCAATAGTTAATAGTTGCTTAGGTTATTAAGCTGAAATTTTGGTGGGTATTTTTTATAGTGAATCAGCTTTGTGGGTAACAACCACAAAAAGGTTGAAAACCATTGTTTGTGCGCACGCACTCAGGCGCACAGGTCGGTAAAATGAACAATCCCTAATCCTCCAATAGCATCGCCAATGTTCATTCACCATGAAGTGCCAATACCACTCCGGAACTGAGACTCGCTAGCGCCATCATAGCATGTGGGCTGACCGCTTCGCTCTAAGAGCTGTCTATACCATTTCTCAGTTGACTGCACCCAGAGCATAGTCACATTGGTGCTTTTGGAACTCGTGATCCTTCGTCATGTTACTCAGTTTAGTTCATAACGCGATCAAATGGCATGCAGTGGGAAGCACGCGCAAGTCGGTTGTGATCAATCACAAATCAGCCAAAAGCATGTCGGAAAATTACACACTACGAAATGGCTGTTGAAACCAGACTCACTTGTGCAGTGCGATCGCGCTTTTGGTGGTACAGTAAAACCTCCGAATTTGACAACCTGTATATCCTGAACACTGCGGTACAATAGCGGAGGTGGTTTACCACCTCTAGCTGACATGTATAATGATAATGATGACATTCTGAACACCTCCCTAATTTGGCCATTTTGTTTTAAATTGCTTGAACGTTCGCCATGTAAACGTTATGGATCCAGGTCTCTGTGCGTTGACCACGCTTATGTATCGACTTCTTTCGTCCAGTTCCTTGAGTGGCCGGCTTACCGAGGTTACACTATATATAAGAAAACATTGGTTACGCTAAAGCTAGGTTTACGTAGTCGAACTCAAGTGGGCGGCAGTTGAGATCTCTCTACACCAGTGGTCACCAAACTACTGCCCACGGCCCGGATCTGGTCTTGCAGTGGAACTCTAATTTGAGCACCAAAATCATTCACATGCACATCTTAGCTCTGTGCTTACGTGCTTCGCACTAATGCACTTTCGAGCATGTCATGCAAATCATCTTCGCATTCCAGACATGTTTGGCCCCTTCATGTGTCTTAACAGTTCCGACAATTTGAGCGATGGTCAGCGTGGAACCCATTGATCAAGTCCGCTCACGTCGCTAGGCTGCACTTCGCTCATCTGACCCCATTTACGTGCTCGTACGTTGGCATGTGACCAAGGCAGTAGTCTTATACACACGCGTAAAAGGTAGTGTAGCGTCTGCCGTGCGGTTCTCCTTGCCATTGATTCAACTGACATCGTATAAGCAAGCCCCATTATGCCGTAGTAACCTGTACGAACGACACTTTTAGAAGCCAAACTCCAGTCTCGCCAAGCCCACTGCTCATTTTTGCTATTTAGATTGTGCCACTCAGAAGTGTGTACGCAATTTCCTTGGTAACTGTGGCGAGAACGGCGCCGTGCGAACGACCTGCGTATCAAAGAATGAACGTATACATGGTATAACATTTCAAACAGAACAGTCGGACGCATTTGCGCACTTCATTTATAGTTCTTATCTGCGTTCTATTGACTCAGCTTGCTGGGACGGTGTGGTATAGGCCAAAAACTTCAGCGTCATTCGTTTCCATGGCTGGTTGAATTGTGTCCGCGCCCGTCGTCCGCGATGATGCATTATACGCTAAGTTCATTACGTCTGCTCGTTCCATCCATACTACCCATTAGTAGTGCATCACACTACTATTCGACAAAGTCGCCTCCGCTGATAACCCTATAGTTTATTAATCAATCGACTGTTTTTGATTCCTGTACATTGCGCGTCACTCACCTACGTTTATCATGGAATGCTTAATTTAGCTCTTCGCATCATTGCTCGGAGCTTTCTTTGTGGTTCGCTAATGGTAGCTATCCGAACAATCTCCTCGTGGTGCAAGCTGGGTGGTTCGGGTTTAACCCGTTCCAGCAAATAGTTTGGCGGCAGTGTTCCAGGATGTGGTGGGTTTTCGCCTGGCAACCTCTCTCCCTATAAAAAGCCACATATGTCCGTCTAACAACACTGTGACGTGGCGGATGTGACTCGCCACAAACTAAAGTCACTGCCACGTGGACATCCGGATAATGCTATCCAACCCACGGACATAATTCGTTTATTCTCAAATTCCTGACAATATCAAACAGTCAAATAGGTAGCGACACACTTAAAGGCACAAGCTACACAGCTACATACAAAACAATTACATATGTATATACACCCATACACATACCTTCACTGTTATATAAAACATGTAATTTTGTACCTTTTTGACCACACTTTGTTATCTTAACATGATCATGCCTGTAAAGGTGTACCTCGCGTTGTCGAGAATAAAAAGTTTATTTATTTACACATTAGCTGAAGGTGAGAAACACACTTCAGTTAATGTGCCGCAACACAAAAATAACATGGTACACAAAAATCCAAAAAGTGAGTACTATAATGTTAAGTATTATTTATGATATTAGGCATGTGATCGCGATTGATGCTGGAATCCAAACGTGAAGGGGGTGGACAGAAAAACTCAGCACAAACACCACTGGAGTCAACTCATCACAATATCAGCAAATGTGCCAGACCAACCATGTTCGTCGTCATTGGGACCTCAACCTGTCAGTCGGGAAACACCAACCGATGCCAACTATGAAGTAAGGAACTTCATTCCTCCTAACCAAGTCAGTGCTTGGCCTCTCCTCTTCTTCTTCCATCTACACCTCCGATGCGCAAACAACACACGAGGCGGGAGTGAGTAGGCTGGCGTGCGCAGCACATGGCCTAGCCATCAGGGCCGGCGTATGATATAATGGTGCTGAGCGGTTCACTCGCTCTTCCTGCACCAAATACGCGACGCCGAACACATTCATTTCTCACGCGATGCTCCCACCAGACATGAGCTAAGCTGGGAACGCAACGATGGTCGAAGGTAGTTAGCCCCTTTATGTCTGTTGTTGCAATCTTGGAAAAGGATTTTGCATTTCGAGAGTGTAAAAGAATAGCCCAAAACAATTGACAGGTAGTGCTAATATGCCCAGTGTCGCTTAGCACGTTTGGCAGCTGGCACAGATGAAAGCAATGTCGTTCGCATTCTCCAAATCAAGAAGTCGCTCACCAGGAAGTAGCTCCACACCTAGTAGGTCGGGTCCAAAGAATGCTATCTCCATAACTTCGTCAATAGTGAAGTTAGAGAGGAATGGTAACAGCGGGCAACCTTGTCTCACACCATTGGAGATATTGAAGGGCAACGAAAGTTTTCCATTAACCCTCACTCTGCCTGAACTATGC